ATATTAACTAAATGGGTTTAATCGATTAGTCATAGCCTTTTATTTAAAAATATGTAGCTATAGTCTTTTCATTAAACACTAATTTGCTAAATTCACTGCAAGTTATAAAAAGAAGGTAGCGCATACTTTAACAAACTCCCCAACATATTTACTATAATGATAAAGCACATTGTTTTGCTCTAGTTTCAGCCCATTTGTTGCACTCGCTATTTGCTCCATATCATACCAAAATAGTGCTAATTAAATACTTGTGCAAACATGACCATTAGGTTTCGCTACAGTAAATGTAACTGTTTGGACAGGAGACCTCTGAAGAATACATTTGTTTTTGTTCTTGCACAGTCTTTACACGATTTTCTGACAATTTATTTGAAGATGTAACAATTTCTGACACATCATTAAAATAAATGATTAATTATAATCTATCTCTCATTTCTCTTTTGTTAAAGCAGCAGTGATGCAGATGTCTTTGATTCTTTTCTCCTGAAACACAAATATCACCAAGTGTCAGGAGAGAGTAAATATTTAATGCAAGCTATGCGTTGCAAACAGATCATAAGACATGTGTCCCCCTTGGAAAATTTTGCATAAATTTGGGCAGTATTTTTTTCTAATTACATAAATGAAACTTAATTTAATATCGGCATACTGCGACTGTGCAAAGAGACGCTGTCTGATTGGCAGTACAATTAGAAGTGCTAATGTCACTATGTGAGGGTTTTGTCAATTAGACAGATCCACTAACTAAATCCTAATTTGCACCAGAAAAGACACACAATCAGCTGATAAATTCAGGCTTCTGTGTATTATCCTAATGGAGACAGTAACAGTGAAGACAAACAAGGGCTATGGGAGGGGGCACGGGGTGTGACATGCATTAAAGGCCTTGACAAGCCACTAATGAACAGATGACTCATTGCTGAGGTCATTTGCACCCAAATTATACAGTATGTGTTCTAGCCAATGATAAATTGGTTGCTCTGTCACAAGCAAAACCTAACTGTGAATTTGTTAGGATTCTTGTAAATATAATGAGTATTTTAAATAATTTACATGTGTGAAAACTCACAAATACATATGGAACAGAAATTACCATTAGGTTACTCTTCAGTAACAACATGTTTAAAGCCAAATATTTGTTTTCATAATGCATAATTATGTTCTAATATTTAAACCTCAATTAATTTCATGGTTTTGTTTAAGCTTACTTGATGTTTGTTTACAATAAGAGACAACGCGGTTTGCTTTACCACACTGTGGTCTTGTTCAATGCAGTTCTAGGACACCACCAGTTTATATTTGATGAAAAAATTAAAAAAAAGCTATTTGTCAGCACTTACAGATACACTGCCTGCCCCCCCCCCCCCCCCAAAAAAAAAGCAAATAGGTACGAGCCTCCTATTGGATAATCAGTGCATGGGCGATTATCTTTCAGCTGGCAACAAGTTATTTAACCCCAACTGGTGCAATGAGTTGCTTCTTATTTCTTAAACAACCATGTGGAAAGACACATCACGTGTTCGTGGAAAAGATGTCAGTCTGTTTGAGAAGGGTCAAATCATTGGCATGCATCAAGCAGAGAAAACATCTCAGTAGATTGCAGAAACTACTAAAATTGGGTTAAGAACTATCTAACACATTATTAAAAACTGGAAGAATAGTGGGGACCCATCGTCTTCGAGGAAGAAATGTGGTCGGAAAAAAAATCCTGAATGATTGTGATCTGCGATCACTTAAACGTTTGGTGAAATCAAATCGAAGAAAACAACAGTAGCACTCAGGGCTATGTTTAATAGTGAAAGTAAGAACATTTCCACATGCACAATGTGAACGAAACTCAAGGGATTGGGACTGAACAGCTGTGTAGCCTTAAGAAAACCACTAATCAGTGAGGCTAACTGAAAAAAAAAGCTTCAATTGGCTAGGGAGCATAAAGATTGGACTCTGGAGCAATGGAAGAAGGTCATGTGGTCTGATGAGTCCAGATTTGCCCTGTTTCAGAGTGATGAGTGCATCAGGGTAAGAAGAGAGGCAGGTGAAGTGATGCACCCATCATGCCTAGTGCCTACTGTACAAGCCTGTGAGGGCAGTGCTATGATCTGGGGTTGCTGCAGTTGGTCAGGTCTAGGTTCAGCAACATGTGCTCAAAGAATGAGGTCAGCTGACTACCTGAATGTACTGAATGGCCAGGTTATTCCATCATTGGACTTTTTCTTCCCTGATAGCATGGACATATTCCAAGATGACAATGCCAGGATTCATTGGGCTTGAATTGTGAAAGAGTGGTTCTGGGAGCATTAGACATCATTTTCACACATGATTTGGCCACCACAGAGTCCAGAACTTAACCCCATTGAGAATATTTGGGATGCGTTGGAGAAGACTTTGCGCAGTGGTCAGAATCTGCCATCACCAATGCAAGATCTTGGTGAAAAATTACTACAACACTGGATGGAAATAGATCTTGTGACATTGCAGAAGCTTATCGAAACAATGCCACAGAAAATGCATGCCGTAATCAAAGCTAAAGGTGGTCCATCGAAATATTAGTGCGTGACCATATCTTTTGGTGGCAACTTTTTCTTTGGCTAGGCAGTGTATTAATCAAGTCACTATAGGTTATTAAAGGGAAACAAAACTGTCCCAAAAACAATAAATACATTGTGAAAAAAGACATATCTATATAGTAGACTCATAGTTTAGCCATGATGCAAAAAAAAAAAAAAGTGTAGACAAAAAGACATTCAGTGTGCTCTTAGGACTGGAAGTAAAAAAAGCATAAAACAGTCACATTGCCTGTTGTTTTCTTGACAGGCAAATATAGTCTGCAGCTTGGGGCTACTTTTTTTCATTGGATTGCGCATTAACCATCTAGAACAATTCATCAGCAGCATTAGCTCTATGTCACATTTTGTACATAGCCCCTCTACCTTTCATCTTAGACCAAGAAAATGAAGTACATATGAGCTGAGTACATATTGTTATTCAAATTAAACAACGTAAATAACGTTAAATAACTTTTAAATTAAAAGTAGTTTTGAATCTGCCTATTTTACCAAATACAACCCAATTACCTAAACTTACCAAGTATAAATTAACACCTATTCCAGCATGGTAGAGCTGAGTTTATTCTATATGAGTTCAGTCACATGGTGAGTGGGATTTGACCTTTCTAAAAACATTTGCCCTTTTGATGCACCTTTTCTGCTGTGCACCATATTCTGACAAGGTTAGACATGCCTGATGGGTTACAGCTGGGTGGTGTGATAGATAACAGTTCCATGAGTGTTCATCACAGAGCAAGATTTTTATGGATGATTTACACTGTCCATGCTGCCCGTGGCATCCTAAGAGCTTTGGGAATCTTGTAGAAAAATGAAACTAACAGTTCTCATTGGTTTAAATATACAGTATAAAAAACAGTTTATTCTAAGACAGCCAGTTCTAATATCATTAAAGGATATGTTAGATTGCAGTTAAATGGGTTCCCATCAGTAAGGATAAATTTGAAGCCTAGTATTTGAATATTGTTGGAGAATTGAGAATTTTAGAAAAAGTAGGACAGGATTTAATCACAGTTGTGTTCAAAAGTAGCCACTTTGTTCAGAAAATAACAGGAAAGCAAAAACACTAATATCATTTATGTGTTCTCTTTCGGAAAAATTGATACTCCATAGTGAAATTTCCTTGGAATACAAATTAATGAAGTTAAGAAAAAAAGAAGGCCATACGTATTTTATTAATGACACTCATCAATAATATCTCTTTCTACAACTGGATGAATTTTCATTTCAAGCCCTTTAACATTATGTTTGTTGCGTACAGCATTTGTTTCCACTTCATTTTCTGTGCTACCGCACAGCAGAAGACTGTGTGAGCATCCCTAATTGAGCGAGCTGCTGTTCACATTAACTTCATTACTCATTCTAAAATTTTAATCATCCCTGATGTGGAGACAGAGTTTGTTAGGATCAAATGGTAATTGACCTGCACTATTTTTGTTTACACCCAGGTAGGCTTGATTCTTTCTAGGCTATAACCTAATTATTTGTTATATAGCTCTGAGTTTTCAGCAAGCTCCAAAAAGGGGGGAAAAAGCAAAATCAGTCTAGCTTTCGGTTGAATGCTGGTGAAACTAATTGCTGTGAATTCCAATGGCTACATGGCTGTAAGCTTTTAAAATAAATCAAACAGCAGTTAAACAGAACTGTTATTTCTTAATATTTTCTTCATGTTTCAAAAAAAAAAAAATAATATATGAATAGTGGCAGTTCATCCTTTTTCTAGCCATTTGAATCACACTTCTTTGGTGTGGGTCTGATTTCACGTTCCGCCTTTCAGCAAAGTTTTCAGTATGTACACAGAGTCAGCTTTAAACATTTTGAATAAATATACAGTATCTGTGTAAAGTGATAACTACTTCTGGATCAAGGGGGCATTTCAGCTAGCTTTATACATTATTCAATGTGGGATGAATAACGAGAGCATCCTCCAACTCAGTCAGCACCCTTCAATTATTTAAGCTCAACTTGACAGCAGAACACCGCAAGTTCAACAGAGTATGATGTCAACATTTTGTCTACATTGTTTTAATGTTTTAGGGAACAAAACAACAATAAAATACTATTGAAGATGTGTGAAGGGGTATCGTTTCCAGAACATAAGGCTTATTTTTTTAAATTTCATTTATTTACTTTTTTTTTTAAGGGTGAACATGTCACACATTCATACACCTCAAGTTCTATGTGACTGCTACCCCATCACTATCACTCCATCACTCCTGTCCCTTGGATGGTCCAGATCAGACCATCATTAAATCTAATATTAGTAAAGTCCATGCTCACAAAAGCAGCATAACTTTCATAATTAAAACCAGGAGATGTCTTACTAATGCCTACAAGATGTTACATATAATTTAATAATAATAAAGTTGGTACTCTAACGTCTATATTCCTATAAATTCACTTTGTATTCATACTAAATGTTTTTAAACTACTTACCTTGTTTTTCAAAATTATGCTTGATATCATCTTCCTTGAACATTATGTCTGTGTGTCCTCCAAGGCCAACATTAACTCCATAGTCGTCCAGAACCTTCCCATCATTGATCCTGTTATGGAGCTGGTTGGGTGTGGAGTTGAGCGAGTGTCCGCCTCCATCGTCTTCATCACAGTCATAGTCATCAAGAATGGGAGTCTCGCGAATGGGCATTCCAATAACGGAGCCGCCATGCTGGTGAGTGCCTCGAGAACTCCGATAGCTGTCACGGCCCTGCGGACCAAGCAGGATGGAGGGAATATAGTGAATCTCATGGGTGGCCTCAGTGCTGGCGCTCTTTTGAGGAATCCGGCGACGCTTACACCATCGGTGGCGGGTATATAAGACCAGGGTGAAGAGAAGAATTAGAAGGAGAAGGGCAATAAGGCCTCCCTAAATTAAGAGACAGAGAGAGAAAAAAAAAAACAATGTCAATTTAAAAAAGAAAAAAGAAAACTTTTAATTGACATTAGATTTTACAAAGGTTTATGTTTGGCATTTGACTTGATATCCAACAGTATGGAAAAAGAAGCAACTTCAAGCATGGAGAAAACTGTTTTTGCACCAATCAGTAGGGATACATAAGAAAAATAAATACATAAATAAATAAATAAAATATGGAAAGGTGCTTGTATTCATTTTAATAGCAGTTTGTGAATATGACATTTCAGTCCAAACAACATTATTAGCTCCTGATGTGAAATATACAGAAAATTACTGAACATGAGGACAGAAATAGGACAAACATAAAAATACTGGAAAACCACTATGATTTTTTTTTTTTTTCAGCAAACATGAAGAAGTTTATTTTAATGCTCAAAAATGAACTTTTTAGTATTTTCTATACTGAAGTATAATATACAGAATGCACCTACAGGATGTGCATACTGTAATGTCATAAAATAACATATTGAATTACCACATAATTGAATCTATATTTATCTATAGAAAATTTAGATAGGAAAAATAAGCTTTAAAGTATGAAGTTACATCAGACTACCTGATTTTTTTTTCTGCTCCCAGTACAGTGTAGCCAGGCAGAAATAATTGCCTTTGTAACAGTGTTGCATTTGGAGCTCTATAGCTTTCGAGTGTCACACACCATTGAACAAGCATTGTTTGTCTGCTTTGCCCTTTGTTTCTTCCCTAAGCCCCAAACCTGGTCCTTTCAATTCACTAAGGTGTATCAAATTTCTACAAGGTGCATTCACTATCTGACCATCACAGAAACAGCAAACACCCCACCATGCATGTGGTGGATGAAGGTTAATGTAAATCTATATGCAGAAGCAGGGTAGAGGAAAGTAAGGAAGGGCATAATATATTATTTGATTCTTTGCAGTGGCATTCACTGTGTGAGATGTAGTATTGGATTTAGCAAAGCATGACAACCAAAGCGTGATAAATGTTTAGCGTCAAATTGAAATGGCTCGTGTCAGCACTTTTGACAGTACATATTTAACATTAATGCTATATGTGCAAAATGATATGTGTGCATGAACAGACAGAAACTTAAACACAGGGAGAATATATGTGTGCACACACGTACCCCCCCCCCCCCACACACACACACAAACTCACACACATTCACACACAAACCTGTGCACATGCTACATAAAATAGTACTAATAAATAAAATTGTAAGGGTTCATTTATCACAACGTTTAAAATTCCATCTTCATGTGGAAAAACAAACCCCTTTCAAATTATAGCTCATGCACTGCTGGATGTTCATAAATCAAGCATGCTGAGAGGTGAGGCAGCTCAGAGAGGACTCGTACTACAGACAGACTTGCCCATTAATCTCCAGTCGAATAGCAGTTCAGCAGAAATGCAAACTCCTAAAGTTCCCTTGTAGTCTGTATATCTATATTAGCTCTCCTTAAAAACACCAAAAACATATGGAGTGACTTATTTTTCATTTATCCATCCATCCATTCATCCATCCATCCATCCATCCATCCATCCATACATCCATCCATACATCCATCCATACATCCATCCATACATCCATCCATACATCCATCCAATTAATCCAGACTAAGGTTGTAGAGGTAGCAGTTTAAGCAGGAAGACTGTCACAACTCCTTTCAGAGCCAACTCTATGAACTTTTCCAGGAGAATTCCAATATGTTCCCAGGCCAGCCAAGAGACATAGTCTCTACAGTGTCTCCTGGGTTTTTCCTGGGGTCTCCTTCCAGTTGGACACATCTGGAACACCTTCCTGAGAAAGCATCCAGGGACATCCTTACCATATGTCCAAACCACCTTAACTAGTTCCTCTTGATGTGAAGGAACAGTCGGTCTACGCTGAGTTTCTCCTCAATACTTGAACTTCTCACAGTATCTCTAAGTGAAAGCCCAGATATTACATCTACCCAACTATCCCTTATCTTTAACCTGCTTCTTCCTTTTCGGGTCACGGGGAGACACTGGTGCCTATTTCCAGCAGTCATTGTACAACAGGTGGGGTACACTCTGGACAGGTCGCAAGTCTATCACAAGGCCAAATAAAGACAAATGAGACAAACAAGCATTCACACGCTCACTCACACCTAGGTACAATTTAGTTACAAAACAGCCTGATATAAAGGTTTTTGGTCTGTGAGAGGAAACCAGAGTAAATTGTAAATGAACTACACTTATTTAGCACTTTTCTATCTTATCAGGATACTGAAAGCACTTTACACTACAGTCTGTGCCCTCATTTACCCATTCACACAGCACTCTACAAAGAATAATCAGTGCTTTATCACATTCATACTCCGATGAGACACACATCGAAGGCAATGAGGGGTTCAGTGTCTTGCCCAAGGACACTTCGGCACGTGCCTGCTGGTGGAATCGAATCCCCAACTCTTGCATTGGAGGATGACTGCTCTAACCACTTAACCACAGCTGCACCTACAGAACATGCAAACTGCACCCAAAATGGTCCCCCGACTTGGATTCGATTCGGTGACCTTCTCGCTGAGAGGCAGCAGCTCTGCAACTGATTCACAATTCCACCAGTCCAGCTATTCTGCAGAGAAAACAGATTTTGATCAACTGTATCCGCAGTCTCAATATTTTGGTCACTAGTCAGAGTTTGTGACCATAGGTGAGAGTAGGAACAATGACTGACCAGTAAAAGTGGAGCTTTGCCTTGCATCTTAGCTTCATTCTCCCCACAACAGACCAACACAGAGTATGCAACACTGTGAAAGCCACACCACTCCATCTGTCGATCTTACACCCCAATCCTTTTATTTTTTCCATTTGTGAACTAAACCCCAAGGTACTTGAACTTCTCCACTTGAGGCATCACCTCACTCCCAACTCGAAGAGGGCAATCCACCATTTACTTGCTGAGGAACATGGTCACATATTTGAAGGTGTGATCATGATCCCAGCTGCAAAATGAACTTGTGAGAGCTAGAAAGCACACCACAATCATTCCAAATTCCATCCATCCATGTATCCATTATCTTTACCCACTTCTTCCTATATGGGTTGTGGGGGTCACTGTTGCCCATGCCCAGCCATCATTGTGCAAGAGGCGTGGTACACCCTGGATAGGTCGCAAGATCATCACAGATAGACACATAGAGACAAATGAGACAAACAACCATCCACACTCACTCACACCTAGGGGCAATTTAGAGTTACCTATCAGCCTAATAGACATATTTTTGGTCTGTGGGAGGAAACCAGAGTACCTGGAGAAAACCCATGCATGCACGGAGAGAATATGCAAACTCCACCCAGAAAGACACCCGGACAGGATTTGAACTGGGGCAAGCTGCTTGCTGAGAGGTGGCAGCTCTACCAGCTGTGCCACTGTGCTGACAATCGTGTTAACAGTACCGCATTATTCGCAAATTGAAAAAATATAATCCAGAGGTTATCAAACTAAACACTTTTTGCCACCTGGCTGCACCAAGAAATTCTGATCATAGCAACAGACCCCCAAACCCATACTCATAGTGCGCCCCCCACAACACACCCTTGGGAACACAGATGAATGTCTTCTTTAAGATCTGCCTTAAATTCATCAAAACTCTGAGTGTTGCTGGGTTGTCTGTGTTGAAACCTCTTTGAAACATTGTGTGGACACTGGGAGCAGTGCAACTGGATTGACAAACAGCTATGACAGATACCTTTTTTAATAAAAGTGGGACCCAGGCTGGGCAGCACGGTGGCGCAACTGGTAGAGCTGCTGCCTCTCAGCGAGCAGGTCCTTGGTTCAAACCCCGGTCCAGGGGCCTTTCTGGGTGGAGTTTGCATGTTCTCTCCGTGCATGCGTGGGTTTTCTCCGGGTACTCCGGTTTCCTCCCACAGTCCAAAAACATGCATGTTAGGCTGATTGGTAACTCTAAATTGTCCCTAGGTGTGAGTGAGAGAGTGAATGGTTGTTTGTCTTGTTTGTCTCTATGTGGCCCTGTGACGGACTTGCGACCCGTCCAGGGTGTACCCCGCCCCTCGCACAGTGATTGCTGGACATGGGCACCAGCGACCCCCGTGACCCGAAATGGAATAAGCGGGTAAAGAAAATGGATGGATGGATGGGACCCAGGCTGTGTGGAATAGTCAAGCGTGGACTAACAAGAGTTGGTGCAGTAATGGACCCATTAAGCTATAAAGTTTTTAGGGAAACAAAAAGTCACAAAGTAAGTTTAAGTGTAGGAAGCAATGCTACATCTTGAAGTTACATATCATGTTAAAATTACATGGGGAGGCTACAGAAAGCAACACGATTCTCTTTCACTGACTGAAGCGTGAAAAGAAGTCATGTTCCTGTCACGTCTCTGTCAGATCCAGACAAGCCTGCTTGGTTGGCAGAGTGATGAGTCTCCCTCAAGGCAATGGTGAAAACCCACAACTCCTGTGAAATTGCTAAGATTAATTCATAAAAAAAGAACCAGAAATGCGTTTTATATTTCATACACAATCAGGATGGCTAAAATATATGAATTTTCCAAACTCTAACAAGTATTTTTACCAAACCTTAAGAAGGTAGATTTACATTTCTGTGTATGCAAACTCTTGTCAGCAAAAGTTAAAACTTTGCAAAAACTGAAGAAAAATGTATCAAAGGCTGGATGTTTTAAAGAGTACACTGAAGTTGTGTAGAGTCTCTTGTGTAAAGATATTGCATCAATATTTCTATAGCTCAGGATACACCTTCCTTTTTAACTTTTTCCATCTCAGTAAATTAGTCAATTAATGTGCAGTGCAGTGCAGATTTAGTGACTAACTGTAAAGACAAATAACTTGCAGGCAGTTGCTCAATTAAAATCTAATATATCATCTAGATCTTTGACTTCACTGATATTTTAACACTTTCTCTGTTACAATGGTACATTCAAGAATAAATAGTCTATGTATTTTTAATCCTTTTCAGTCACTTTCCG